CGTAGCCAATACCCAAGGGAAAGTTTAGCACTCTAGAAAGTTCATTCATGCCTTTTCTCAATTAATATCATCACTAGCTTTTAACCCAGAAGTAACCACTACTCTGACTTCTATCACTATAGATTGTTGTGTCCTGTTCTTGAACTTCGTGTAAATGGAATTATAGCCTTTTGTATCTGGCTGCTTTCACTCATTATGTCGGAAGCTCGTCCACATTGTTTGTGGCAGTAACTCATCCTTTTTTATTACTGAGTAGTATTCCAAGGTGTAAAATATCGGGTCATTTCTTGTTGTTAGGAGCTTTCTCGAACATGTCTTACATTCAACATGTAGTCTCGAATCATTTGGGTTCTGCAATAAGACCTTTAAAGTTCCTTGTTTAAGCAAACTGCATTTTTACACTCATCCTCATTTAAAACAGCTTATGCCTACAGTAACTCATGACCTTCGGGCCGATGGTTATGACTGACTCAGAAATGAGGCATTGCTGATCAGACTTATGGTAAAAATATTATTCACCATAGTAAAGATGGTTGAGTCAGTGGTTGACCCAGTCATGGGATCCACTCAGGACGCCATCAGGGTGGGGAAAACTTGCAGTTTAGCAGTCAGGGTTTCAAATCAGCATTCCCTTCTCTAGAAGATTCTATCACACAGTTTTCTTTGCTGGGGTGATTTTTGGTCATATCTTTTCTAAAACAGGGAATCTGACTCCTTTAAACTCAAAGCTTTCTTTTTAAGATGATTTTTAAAATTTTAACAGCAGCAAAATAGGAACAATAACAGTATTTCCCTGGTTAAATACTAGTGAGGGAGGGGAAAACTAGTCAGGGGAAGTCACTCTTTCTGTTGACAGAGATAAAGCTGACAAGGAAATGAGAACTAATCTTTAAATAACTTCCTAGAGTTGTTAACGCATAACCTCACTCATTCATATTTTAAGATTGCCTTAAAGTACTGCTAAAAATAAGGGTAAAGGGATCAGGAAAAGATCATAAGACTTTCCAACTCACTAATTACATACATTTTTAATGAAGGGCTGAGGATAGTCAGGGAGTCCGGAGAAGGTCTCTCTCTGTGTTATTGGTTTACCCCATGGTGCTCAGTAGGTTAAGCAGAGTCAAGAGGCAGGCTGGGGCCTGGGTGTGGAGTTAATTCCAGTGACTTGGGAGGTTGAGACAGG